CGTTCTTGAATAGATGTTAGTTGTTCTCCTTGAGAGGGGGAGTGAAGTCAGGATGACTTGTGTTGCCATCTTGGTGATGTTACTCTGCTGATGGTAAGCTTTATCAGGTGCTGGGGGGTGCTGGAGGGGACTTCCTGGAGGAAGGGGATTTTTCTTCCTAGTTCTGACGAGCTGCATTTTTCTTTGTTTTGCTCCTGTGGCACCATCTGTCAGCAGGACATACGGGTGGGGACATCTGGTGGTACTCTGTCTCAGCCATGTGCACAAGTACACAGGCCCTCAGCGATCTTGCAGCCCCAGTCTAGACCTGGTGACCACTTTGCCATGGCTCTTCTGAAGGGGACACTGTGCTCCTGAGGCCTTATGCCTGAAGTGCCTTGACTACTTCTGCATGCCTGCCCACTAGCTTTGACTTGCCTACACCCCAGGGAGTTGTTTCCTGCAGTTCTCTTGTCGTGGATACTGTGCATTCCAGGCCTATGCCTGCAGCAGTGTCCTGGCTACCTCTGCACACCTGCTCCCCAGCCTCACTTGCCTGCACTCTGGAGGATGGTTTCCTGCTTGCTTGGCAACACTGGCCCAGCTGTGGTTTGCACACCCAGTGAAATTCTGTTATCTAGTGTGCTGCACCCATACCTTCTCCAGTGAGAAACCCCAGCCTTGGGGAGGGGACGTTTCTTCCAAGTTTATCCTGTCCCGGTACTCTCCCTCAGCCTTATTTTCTTATCATAGTTTTAATAATTATTTTATTATTAAATAACTTTATTTATTTTGTTATTTCATTATTAAATAATTATTAAAAAATTAAAAATAGCTTTATTGACATAGTTGACATATAGTAAACTATATATTTAAAATATATCTTTTGATAAGCTTTTTTTTTGTTTTTTCTCCCCAAATCCCACCAGTACATAGTTGTATATTTTAGGTGTGGGTCCTTCTAGTTGTGCCATGTGGGACGCCACCTCAGCGTAGCCTGATGTGCGGTGCCATGTCTGCGCCCAGGACCTGAACAGGTGAAACCCTGGGCCGCCATAGCAGAGCGTGAGAACTTAACCACTCGGCCACGGGGGCAGCCCTGATAAGCTTTGATATATTATGTAACTATGAAACCATCGCCATAATGAAGTTAATGAACATATCCATCACTCCCAGAGGTTTCCTCATGCCCCTTCGGAATCTCTCCATCCTGCCCCTTGCCACTCCTTGTTACATCTTCATAGTTACTGTCCTATCATAGTTTAATAGTTATATATGTTAAACACTCTCTGTTTAATTTACTATATGGTTTCTGTCTCCTGATTGAACCCCTGCTGATAGAGAATTGGTGCCTGGAGTGGTTCCAGGAGATAGATCTAAAACTTTGAGGGTTTGGTATTGACTTGGTCTTGCTTTTGGGCCTGAACACAGTGCTGAGCTCCTCGCCAAGGGAAATGGGATGCTAGTAATCCATGGCATCGCAGTCAGTCGAGCTATCGTCTGTAGTCAATTGTGATGTGTTGCCAACTGAACGCACTTGCCTCAGAGCCCACATGGCTGCTACATTTGACCTTTATCACCATAATGATAACTGTAAGGACTGTAGGGTGGGATGGAATCTTTTGAGTGTAATTGGGTGCTCACAGAGAAAAAATGACAGCTTGCATTTGTTAACTCTCAGCTTGAGATCTGCCCTTCTGTCATTCTTTTTTAATTGCACATTTCACTCAGAAGAAATAATTTCATCTTCTCCAAATTGTGAATAGACTTGTGAATTGCTTGCTCATTAAAAAAATTTTGTTTTGGCATAAAAGTAATGCACACTTAGAAAACTTGAACAAGTGGAACGGATTTCTGTGTATTTTCTTTTAGGCTTTTATTTGGTATGTTATATAAAATGAAATAGATTTTAGAAAGTTTTAGTTTTTTATTCTAAACCATGCAGATAATTATAAAGAAAATAAAAACCATATAGAGTCCCACCACCCAGAGTTTACATGTATTAGCAAATTATTTTGTTTCATACTATTTATGCATATTTTTAGTGTATACATAAAATACTTTTAATGTTGAGGCTGTAAATTTTTTTTTTCTTGAGGAAGATTAGTCCTGAGCTAATATCTGCTACCAATCCTCCTCTTTTTGCTGAGGAAGACTGGCCCTGAGCTCACATCTGTGCCCATCTTCCTCTGTTTTATATGTGGGACACCTACCACAGCATGGCTTGATGAGTGGTGCCATGTCCACACCCGGGATCCAAACCAGCAAACCCTGGGCCGACAAAGTGGAACGTGCAAACTTAACTGCTGTGCCACCGGGCTAGCCCTGTAAAATTTTTTTTTAACCATGGTTAAGAGGTGGCATATTCAGAGGCTCTGTGGAAGGAGAATATCAAGAGAGGCCGTGTGTGCATTCATCTGACAGATGTTAAGTACCTAATATGTGTCAGGCACCACTCAGATACTTGTGATAGAGCCATAAAATAAAGATTCCTGTCTTGGAGGAGTTTATATTCTTGCAGAAAACATGGAGACTAAACAATAAACATAACAGTCAAGCAAATTATAGTTTGACAAAGTAATGAGTATTATGATAAATAAAAAACACAGAGGAGATTAAGAGGAGAGAGGTGTGGTAGGTGTGTAGGCAGGTCACAGATGTTTGTCAGGGGAGATCGTGGTGTACAGAAAAGATGTCCTGAACAGAGCTTGGGGTGCTGTTTTAAAGGAACATGTTATAGTCAGGGGGAATGGTATGACTTGATCTGGTGCCCCATACTTGTCTGCCATCACGTAGTAGGCCAGATTTCATGTGTAACACCCAAACTAGGTGTGGGTCATGGGCCATGCTCAGCTTTTTGTTTAGAAATTATGCATAAATTGAAGAAGAGGGTTGGGGGCAGGATAATGGGTAAGGGAATTGGTTCATTTATTCAGTCAGTTAGTCTTAGTACTTACATAGAAATTGAGTCTGCTAAAATAGGGAAACTGAATGATAGTGCAAGTTACTTTTTCCCTCATTGTTTTTGTTTTACTTGACGAGGTTGTCCTGAGGATTAGATGGAAAAACATTTATGTCAGATGCTTATCAGAGTGCCTGACACAAAGTTAAGTTCTCCACTGATTTGTCTGTGGTGATGGTGGTGACATTTGTGTGAAGCACCCTCAGAAAAAATTCTGATTCAGGAGGTTGATACTGTGAAGTGCACTGGGCGTGGTGTTTTTGGTAACCTAGAAAATCAGAATTTTCTGCCATGTTTCCCGGAATGGTGCTTAAGATTCTTATATTCATGAAAGCAATTTCATTGTCAATTGTCTTTTTCTTGTTTGCCGTGTAGCTTATTGCTGGGGTTAGCAACCTACCCCTAGTGACAATAGTGGTATTTGAAAGAATTGTGGAGTGTATTTTTGTTAGCACTTCTATTTCTCTCTCTTTTTTTCCTTTCTCTAATTTTACCCTCTAGTCCACTTCTCTTTGACTTGTAAGAAATTTATGAATAATGACTTGGTATGCCACTTGCCAATCTGTGGTTGAGAACAGTGTTTTCCAAATTTGGCTTGATCATAAAGATTCACAGAGGACAATTTTTGAAAGTAAAATTTTAGATTTTCTGTCTGAATCTCCAGGGGAGGGGCCTGGGAACATTTGTTTTTTATCACAGGCCTCTGGCTGATATGTGCTGTATTGGACTAAAGCATATTTTCTAAAGTTCCCTCGTGATAAGAACCACCTGGGGTGCATGTTAATGATATGAGTAAAACAGATTACCAGATCCACCTCATGGGCACTGAATGAGACGCTCTAACTCTGGGGTTGAATGTAAGTCTGGTTTTTAATAGTTGCTTCTTTGTGGACTCGCTTGGCTACTGCTCGCTAGCTTTCGTGATATTTCCATGTAGTCAGGAAAACAAACCCAAGCACTTGTTTTAAATGGTAGGCTGCTTTATTTTTTTCTTTTAAAAAATGGTTAGACATCATAGATACAGGAGAGTGCATAAACCATTTGTGTATGATTTAAAGAATAGTTATAATGCCCCAGGCAACCACTAATCTACTTTCTGTTTCTGTGGAGCAAATCTATAAACATAACGTGTTTTCACCTTTATTTCATCTCTGGTATTAATGGCTCTATAAAACGGTAGTTCAGAAATTATTCAGAGGTGTTTCTCTTTCAGTGTGTGTCAGAGAGTCAGAGTCTGTGTGGTAGTCTCCAAGTCTAGAGGCTTCCAACAGTAATCATCAGAATTACTGTTACATGAGCTTCTGGCATTTAATGAAATAATTCGTTCCAAAGGCCCCCAAACTTCATTCTCATCTTTTAAGAAGTGTGTTATACAATTGGTTGAGGCTTCCCAGTGAGAATTTTGATCTTACTTGTTTAACATTTAGTCCTTTCATGGTACCTTTTTGTTGTGAGATAATAGGGACTCATGTAGGGAATTGGCCGAGGTTGGGGGAGGTTGCACTGTTGCAATTAGGATGTAGGGAGGGAAAAAGGTGCGTTGTTAGGACGGAAAGGGAAAAAAGTATTACTTTATAACATGTGGCTATTTTTTTTCCATTCTCTAATATGAATACAATATGCAAGGATAAATACAAAGTAAATTTACATGTGAATTTATAAATTGTATTTAAAAAATTAGGAAAATTCTTTAAAATTCTAAAAAAATTTAAAGCAAATGTGCTTGTCCGTTTTTTAATCATTATTTTGATTGAAACCTAGTTTCCCCTGTAATTGAGTTGGTAGACAAGCTGTACTGTAAACTGAGAACTGTGGGAGGATGTGGGTTTTGTGGTTAAAATACAGAACTTAGTAACCATGAGTTATGTAGGTATTGGCTGACCTTGGGTGTTTACCTAAATGTCCAAATCTATGTAAATTGTTAGGCTTTTGAAATATAATGTTCGCACATGTTTTTAATTGAAAGATATTTTTGGACATCAGGAATTGATATATGAAATGACTTATTTTCAGGGACAAAGCACCAGAGCTCATTGTTACTTACCTGCTTATCTTCCAGGTGATTTACAGCAAGATGCTGCTCTCCATAGGGATGCTCATGCTGTCGGCCACACAAGTCTATACCATCTTGACTGTCCAGCTCTTTGCATTCTTAAACCTACTGCCTGTAGAAGCGGACATTTTAGCAGTAAGTACAGTAAAATTTGTTCATGTCTAAAAACATTCCTTAAGGAAAAGCTTTAAAAGAAGTCCCAAATGATGGGGGGCCAGTCTGGTGGCACAGCAGTTAAGTTCACACATTCTGCTTGGGCAGCCCAGGGTTCACTGGTTTGGATCCCAGGTGTGGACCTACACGCCACTTGTCAAGCCATGCTGTGGCAGGGTTCCTACATATAAAGTGGAGGAAGATGGGAACGGATGTTAGCTCAGGGCCAGTCTTCCTCAGCAAAAAGAGGAGGATTGGCAGGAGATGTTAGCTCAGGGCTAATCTTCCTCAAAAAAGAAAAAAAAAGCCCCAAATGATGGAATCTTATAAGGTGATTACCTACAAACATACAGACACATACACATAGTTGTTGCTTGAAAGTGGGGACCTTACTCATCTTTTTATTGCTTAATATCTAACAAGATATCATGTACACTAAGTACCTGACAAATGTTGCTCTTGAGAGGGTGTGTGAACTCTCAAGAGGGCTCATGTACTCATTTATCTATATGCTGTATATTTAGGTAGAATCTTACTCATTTTGGTAATTAGTATATCTGTAATGACTTTGATAATGATATTTAAAAAATTGTGTAAGATGTCCATAGAAAATCTAAACCTATGATTAACATTAATGAGTCAGAAGAGAAGAACAATGGTCTTATCTTTGATGGTGGATAGAAAAGTTTTTAGAGGAGGCCTGGTCCTCAAAACCTTATGTATCCTTTCTATGCTGCTGTCTTACTGTCCTCTAAACTGGGAAATGTGTATATTTCCTGTTTCTCATTTCCGTGAAGCTAGAAAAAGAAGAATTAACTCTGTGTGTATATGTGTGTACGTGCACACACCTATTCTCTAGATACTATGTAAGGATTTATTGTTTCTACTTTCTGCACGCAAGTGATAGGCTTACTGACTGATTAGGTGAGAAATAGAAGGGCCAAAATTGTTGCTGACCGCAGCTTGCTGTGGTCCTCAGCGCTGCTTCTGTTTACTGTGGCACTTGTGGAAAGGTCTAGGATCATTGTAGAACTTGGGAGAGCTGGGCTGGTTTCTATACCATAACTTTTGAAGGCATAGCAACTCTAGTCCCTATGAGATTTCTCACCTTCTGTTACACTCTTTGCTGGGGAAACTGGTTGATTAGATTTTTTTCTAGAATAGTCTGGATCTTTATAGAGTGAATGGAAGTGAAACGTTTAAGGACTAAGTGCCCATTGCTATTCAAATCTCACCTCTAAATTTGTCTCCAGAGTCCTTGGGGTGTTCTTGGGATGACTTTTGAAATGAGGGAGAGGATTTATGGGCCGATCAGGGACTGAAGTTCTTATGGTCTCTTTTCTCCTTTGATTTCTTCCATTCTCGTTTGCTCTCTCTTTTTTCCCTCTGTTGTTTGTAACATCTGCCACTCCTTGTCTTCTTTCTTTCTTTTTACCTGATGTGGATTGTTATTCTCTGGTTCAGCTATGATTTTCAGTGGCCTGCCCTGGGGACTTAACCAGCTGTATGATCTTGATCAAATTACTTAGCCACTATAAGCGCATCTTTATTTATAAGCTCGAGTGTTGTAGTGATGATTAAATAAGGTAAACTGCTTAGAACAGTATTTGACACAAAGTAAACATTTATCTTTTTATCTTCATTGTAATTATCATTCTCATCATTCTTCACTCAGTCCCTCGAGCAGTGTATGAGACTGCCCAAGATGTACTTTTTAATGTAGAGATAAAACTAAATGTTAGGTATAGAAGAACAGTCAGTCCTGGCCAGCAGTATGCTCTGTGCTGCGGGCAGGAAAGCGTGGAATGCGTGGTGCTGTCATCTCCTGAAGGAGCCATCAGATTTAAGCATGGGAGCTGCTTAAATATGGTTTTTATGCTGACACTAAAGGCTAGAAGGATGACCTGAATGCAGGGACAGCTGGAGGGGAGTGGGTTGTGAAGGCGCGTGCCTGGCACAAAGGGGAACTAAATCCCGAGTGGAGGAACTGGCTGTAGTAGAATGGACATTAAAAGGCCGTGAGTCAAGAGGCAGAAAATATTAGCTCTTCCTTTTAATTGAATAAGAGCATCCCTGAAATTTGTAGTAATAGAGATTTATGTAAGTTGGACATCAGCTTGATTCCAGTTCCATTTTGGACGGGTATCAGGATACTGCTTTTGAAAAGATAAAGTCAGTTTTAGTCATCTTATTTGTATGCGAGATGATTTTATTTTTGGCAGTTGAATTCTCTCACTTAACTGTTAATTCCCTGAGAGCAGTATTCGTTCAGCTAGTCGGTGAGTTGTGAGAGGCTGTGGAGATGCTACTGGAGTGTGTTGCTGACTAGTCAGTGAGCCTCCTAGATCATGCGCATCTGGAAGGCAGGACTGTGTCTAACTAAACTTCATGTTCCTAGTCCCTAGTGAGAGTTAGAGAGGAGGAGTTCAGTAAGTGTTTGAACTGATTAATAGCTTTTCCTCAGAGGTTTAGTTCTTTCATATCTTCTTTTAATAGCATTTATTCCTTGGTACTTTGGATTATTGTTATTTCTGTTAGCAGTTCATTCTCTTTTTGTCTCTTATCTCATCATTTCTCTTTCCTTTGACCCAGAAGGAAATGTGTAATGATCGAGTGTGTAGGTTTACGTCTAGAAATGTGGAGCTAGAATTGGCACGGGCATTATACGTTAGAGATCATGGACCAGTGTTGAATGTTCTGAGGCCCATAGGCTACAAGCTACTTTGAGCTGTGCCATGATCATATTGAGAAGTAGTATTTATATTGTGTATTTTCAGAGAGTCAAACAACCCAATTTTGGTTTACTCCCAATCTGCCCTTTGATTCTGGTGTAGGCATTTGTCAGAGAGAATCTGTTGCTTGGTTGTGAGGATCAGTGGGCAGAGCAGGAGAGAAGCACCCTTGGTTGGTGTGTGAATAGATTGGATTACGTAGCGTGGTAGTTAAGAGCTCCAGCAGTGGATTTACAATCTGAGTTAAATCCAGTTCTACCACTCTGTAGTTGCATGACCTTGGGCAAATTATTTAATATCTCTGAAGTCTTAATTTACTTGTGAAAATGAGACAGCATGAGAGACCTTGTAGGGCAGTGGCTTAAGAGCCAGGGCCCTGGGGTCCAGCTGCCTGGATGAGAATTTGGTTCCTCGAACTTGCGGGAGCAAGTTATTTTTGACGTTCTGTAAAATGGGAATGATGATCATAGGGGCTGGCTTTATAGGATTGTTGTAAGGATTAAATAAGTGAATACCTGTCAAGTGTTTAGCATGATGTCATAAGTGTTCAATAATCGTTAGCTGTTTGTTTCTTTCTAAGTGAAATTAAACTTTCATTAAGGCTGCTGTCAGAGAGGAGAGTTGGTTAAGGAAGAGACCGTTTTGAAATAAGTGGGCTGAAACTGTGACCTGGCAGTTACTGAGGATGGGATTCCAGAGCGGGGTAACTTTAGTTTCTACTTCAGAAGGTTACCAGTGAGCATGGTTTAACTTCATGAGCGGCAGCTCCTACTGCAACACTAAAAATGTAAAGCACTTTTGTGCTAAAGATGTTTCTGTTTGTCTTTTTCACGAACGATGGGAACATTTTTTGTTTTTAAACAACGTGATTCTAAGAGGCGGTGTGAGACAGTTCTTACTTTGCTGTTAAGAAAGACAAAGCAGTTTCAAAATGGGTCTCACTCAATAACAAAACTTACTCCAAGTCCTAGTGTTACAAGTACTGCAGTTCAAGCTAGATATTTTATTTCTAAAATTCTAGCCAAAAAAATGACATTCCTCAGTGCATAATAGGAAGTGATAAAAGAACACTTTAGTACAGTTATAGATTTTCCATTTCCTGATTTTAAGAGTACTTTTTTTAAGTACTGCCTGCACACATTTGTGTTTTTTCTTTGGTCTATCTATGTTGATCCAAATCAATTTCTTTATTTTATAGTAATGTCTTTGGCCTTGGAGGAGTCAAATGTCTTTCTCAAGTTCAACACAAAGCTGATCATAATTGAATTAAATCAGTTAAAGAAAGGTATTTTAATTGGAATTAAATGACACCTTGTGATAATGGATAGAAAGGCAATTTTGTGACTCAAAAGCACTTTGTAAACCATAGAACACTCTGCAAATATGAATTATTATTATAGTAGGAATTATCTTGAGGCGATGCTGATCTCCAAGTGTACTACCAGGCTGATTATCCAGAGGTAACAGAATGGATAGGTTCAGTGACCAAATTCAGACACTTAAATCACACAGTTTATGGAATTAATTACAGACATACAGTGAGGAGCAGAGGCGAAAGATCAGTATGTTAAGACACTCAGGATTGGGTACGAGTGGAATGCAAGAACCACACGACCCGAGTCCTGTCTTGCCCATTATTAGTTGGTCCAGTCTCTCTATGCTGTATCAGCTTTCCCAGGTGACAGTGTGGTTACCAGGACCTGGTTTGAGGGTGGACAAGGGGACTTGACAGATGAAGGTTGTCTGGATCCAGTGTTTGCTTGCTCTTTGGAGAGACGCAAGGTATTTAAATCTGCACGCAGCTGTGCCTTGCTGCTAACCTGAGCAGCTGACCTGTACTCTGTTGCCTGTCTCTGGGAGATGACACATGAGGGTAGGATGGGGATCACCAATGGGTGTTTGATTTAGGGAAGACATAACTGTCAATCCGGATATGTGACCTAATTTATACTCCGTGAATATTTAAGGTTTGCTTGATCCTTGCGTCCCTTGCTATCTATACAGAACACTTAGTTTGTTCCATCTTTTTATCTATATTCAAAACAGATGTCTTCTATTTTTGGCCTAGAGTTTATAGACAACTATCTTAACTTCTAATACATCGTGTAAGTTTTGCCTGTGTTTCAAAAGTCCCTTGTTTACCATCTTTGCTTAGTTTCATCTACCTTCCTTGTTTGTCTTGTTTTCTGTATAGCACACTGAACGTTCTTAAATAATATAGCAAACTCACAACAATTATCATTATTATTATCTTCTGAAGCACAGAGAACCTTTGTTTTGTTCTGTTTTGGTAGAGGACTGACAAGTATTGTAGCATAGGAATCTGTATCTGTAAGAAAGGGAAACTTGTGAAAGAGTTTGACTACCTTCAGCTGTCTCTGTATGTATTTCATTGAGTTTAGTCTTTTCATTGCTCAGCCCCGGATAAAAATGTTCAGATTATATAAAAAATGACAATGCCTTCAAAGTATGATTTGGTGCTCCTTCTTTCTCTGGGGAAAAGGCATCTTTCATAGCTACAGCCAGAAATCCTGTAAATCTCTTCTATTAAATCAGACCCTTAAATATAGAGAAAATAAAATGGAACTCTTGCTGGAAAATAATCTGTTTAGAAAATTCCTTGCTAGGGAATTGTCTGTGGGAAAAACTCAGAAAACAGTAGGTTGTTCAATGTTACAGAATTATTTCTGCTGTTTAATGATAATTATATGAAATCAGAATCCAATTTTAGCAGTTGTATACGAAGTAAATTGTTTGTATTCGTTGCTCTTTTAGTGATGCATTTACAAAGTTGATTTCTATTGTGGTAAGCTGTGATAGGAAATCAGAATTGAAGAAAGGAAAACATAAATAATTTAATAAACTTGTTTTTAGTGTTATGTGTAAATTGGTTGTAACTTGATTGTTTTTAATTTTATATTCAGTATAATTTTGAAAATGCATCTCAGACATTTGATGACCTTCCAGCAAGATTTGGATATAGACTTCCAGCTGAAGGTTTAAAGGTAAGAAAGTAGTAATATATGATAAAGGCATGAGGTATTTAATAAAGTGATTTTTATTCTTTATTTGTTTAAAGAATGAAAATATTTCTTACTATTTTGTATCATAAAACCCATACATATTCATTTATAAAGGGTTCATACTATTCAAAAGGTATGAAGAAGGAAGTAAGAATGATCTATGATTGTGTTATTCTGAACTAGCTACTGTTAACATTTTGGTATATAATATCTCAGACCTGTTTTCTAGGATATGTGTTGTGTGTGTGTGTAGATATATGTGCACGTATATATTTATGTAATTGTTTACATACATAATGAATCTCTGTTTAACACTAATAGAAACATGCTACTTGATTACCTGCCTTTTTCACTTAATTGTATATCTCGAACATTTTACGCAAATAAAGAAGGATCTGTGTTTTTATTTGCAATGGCTGCATGATTTTACAATATCATGAAATACTATGGATCTTTGAACATTGGTTTAATTTTTCATAGTAGATATTTAGGTTATCCAGTTTTTGTTATCATAAACAGTGCTACAATGAATGTCTTCATCTTTGTGTATTTGTTTGTTTGCGTAAGATACATTTCCAGATGTGGAATTGCTTTGTTTGTGGAACGTATGTTTAAAATATTGTTGTATATTCCAGGTTGCCCTTTGAAAGTTTGGGACAATTTTAGATTGCCACCAATAGTGTCTGAGACTTTCCTTTTTCCCACACCCTCTTCAATACTAGATATTACCAAGTTTTTGTTAATTGATAAAAAAACATCTGAGATTGAAAATCTTAATTTTTTTGTCCATTTCGTGTGTGTGTGAATGTGAGAGAAAGAGAGAATCAATTTCCTATTAATACTCTTTGCTCATTTTTAAATTAAGATGTCCATTCTTTTTGATTTGTAAGAATTCTTTATATGTTGGGAGTTTCAATCTATTGTTTGCCGTATATGCTTCAGATAATTCTTCCTTCATCTTTTAACTTTAAGGTTTCAGAAGTTTGGTGTATATAGTTAAAAGTTACTTTCTTTTCCTTCTATCTCAGGGATCATGGTTAGAAAGTCCTTCTCCATTCCAAGATAAGATGAGGTTTTTATGTTATATGGGTTAGAGTACATGGAATTGTGTGTATATGCTCCACAGAATGTTTTCAGTTGTTCTAACTTTCTTAAAATTCCTTATTTAAGTACCATAAAACTATCGTTCTAGTTAGGATGGCATGCACCTATGGGAGGGACATATCAGTTTTTAATTTTTTAAATATTTTAAATTATTAAAAATAATTCCCAGCATTGTATGACTGTTTCTCATTGTAAAAATATTTAAACAGAAAAGAAGTATACAGAGAAAAAAGAAAAAGCCTACCTTCACCCTTTCCTCATCCATACATGTCAATCCCACTAACCTCGTCAGAGGTAAACATCAGGGTATTACGTGATCTGACCTTCAGATCCTTTTCTGAATATGTAGTACTTTTTAGATCATAAATTTATGAAGTCGTAAAGTTCATAAGTAGTTTATCATTTGGGTATGTGAAAAGTTTCTTCATTTTTATAATAGAATCCATTCTGGGAAGGGATAAAGATGTTTAGAGTATCACAGCCTGGAGAAGCAGTTTACAAACTGTTTTGGAAATAAAACCCTGAACTACCTTGTGGAACTGGCTTGATAAAGTATTGATGCAGCCACTGACCCCCAAAGCACATTGCCCTTTCTCTGAACAGGAAGCCTCTGTGGTCGTATCCCAAAACATTCTGCCTTTACTGCCACCCAGGCTAATCAAAGAGAGATCCTTTGCCAGACTGTTTCCTCAGATCTAACACCTGGATTTTTCTGATTGACAGACTCGAGGCCGTGTAGTTACTAGCAACATACTTTAGTGAAATACTAGCTATGAGGGAAGCTGGGTAATACAATATAGTTTGTTTTTAAATTTTTTTTGTTTTAGTCTACTTTGGGAAGGTGAGATTCATAGTGTGGGGAGAGTGGGTTCAGAAAGTTTGAGGCACCATGCATGATAGGCATCCACTACAATGTTACTCTGTAATTTGATTCCTCTGCTTCCCCACACTTAGCCTTATTCCTTGGAGATCTTTCCACAGCTGCACCTGTGGATCTGTCATGTTCCTGTTAAGCACTGCATGGTATTCTGTAATATGAATGACCATAGTTTATTCATTATTTCCTATTAACACATATTTTGGTTTCTTATCCAAAGTCCAGTTATTTCTTTAGGATAGAGGTTTGGTAGTACAGTTGATGAGTCAGTGAGTATGTACATCTAAAATTTTCATAGATACACTAAATTACGTTTCCAAAAGGCTGTACTAATTTATTCCCATTATCAGTGTATGAGAATATGCATTTCCTTACAGTCTTGCCAACACTGGATATTATTAGTCTTTCCAGCTTTTGCCAATCTGATGGGCAAAAAGTATTATCTTGTTTTAATTTACATTTCTCTGATTACCCGTGATTTTGAGCTGGCAACCTTTCTTTCATTCAGCCCAAGGAGTCAGACCATCCCTTTTCACTGAAGAGCCTTTCTGCTTAGCAACCTTGTTTTTTTTAAAGATTGGCGCTGGAGCTAACATCTGTTGCCAATGTTCTTCTTCTTTTCTTTTTTATTCTTCTCCTCCCCAAAGCCCTCTAGTACATAGTTGTATATTCTAGTTGTAGTTCCTTCTGGTTGTGCTATGTGGAACGCTGCCTCAGCATGGCTTGATGAGTGGTGCCATGGGTCTGTGCCCAGGATCTGAACCAGCAAAACCCTGGGCCGCTGAAGCAGAGCATAACTTAACCACTTGGCCAGGGCGCCAACCCTGCAAGCTTGTTTTAAAGAGTTCCATCAACTCCTGGTAACCATAGTCCTACTGGGGCTCCTCTATTACTATGTTAGTGTAAATTCAGTTTACACTTAAAAGGTATTTGACAAATTTGCTTATTCACTGCCTAAGAAAGAGTAGTGTTAAATATCTGCCTGCTTTTTGCACTGTGGCAATACAGGGCAAGCTCAGGAATTGAAATGCAGTGACAGAAGAGAGAATGTTCTAAAAAATTGTTGGATCATTATAGATAGCTTTTATATTTGCATGACTGGCTTGCCATTGCCCAGATTGAGAATTCACAAATGCTAGCTTACTCGTTATTGTTTACAAGGAAGACTTGGTGATGAAGTGGGGATATCTCATTGTAGTATAATGTCTATAAAACCAATTAAATGAATGTGTTAAAAATATAACCAAGTTAATTTAAAGATACAATATGGTTATTAAGAGATGTAGCTGAGAACTATTTTGCTTTTAAACTTTGCCCAGAGAGTTTAGTTAGGATAGTTTTTGTAAACTTATATCCTGTGTTCGGTAGGTTTTATAATATCATTGGATTCCACCATTTATAAGAGATCAGATATTTATAGTATAACACACATCAGTTGAAATTCTTTGTTTCTATTCCATTTACATATGCCCTAGTATTAAGCTAACAGTAGTCAAGAGAGTAGTAGTTTCTCTACCCTCCTCCATCATTTAAAAAAATATTCTTAGAATCATACAACAATTCCAAAACAGAATCGAGAAGAAATAGAAAATCTGAATAGATTGATCACTGCTAAGGAGATCAAAACAGTAATAAAAAACCTTCCAAAAAACAAAATTCCAGGCCCAGACAGCTCCCCTGGTGAATTCTACCATTCGAAGAAGACTTAATGACTGTCTTTCTCAAATTCTTCCAGAAAGTTGAAGAGGAAGGGAGACTTGCTAACTCATTTTATGAGGCCACCATTACTCTGATACTAAAATCAGACAAAGACAACACCAAAAAAAGAAAATACAGGCCAGTATCGCCGATGAATGTAGATGTAAAGATCCTCGACAAAATGCTAGCAAATGAAATACAACAATACATTGAAAAGATCATACACCATTATAAAGTGGTATTTATTCCAGGGATGCAGGGATGGTTCAGCATCCACAAATGAGTTAACGTGATACACCACATTAACAAAATGAAGAATAAAAATCACCTAATCATCTCAATAGGTGCAGAGAAAGCATTTGACAAGATACAGCATCCATTTATGATAAAAACTCTGAATAAAATGGGTATAGAGGGAAAGTACCTCAAGATAAAAAGGCCATATATGACAGACCCACAGCTAACATCCTCAGTGGTGAAAAACTGAGAGGTATCCCTCTGAGAACAGGAACCAGATGAGGATGCTCAATTTCACCACTCTTACTTAACCTAGCGTTAAAAGTCCTAGCCAGAGCAATCAAGCAAGAAAAAGAAGTAAAAGGGATTCAGATTGGAAAGGAAGAAGTAAAACTATCACTATTTGCAGATGGCTTATATATATGGAAAACCCTAAAGAATCCGCCAAAAAACTAATAGAAGTAAAAAACAGTACATAGAGTAAAGTTGCAGGGTACAAAATCAGCATACAAAAATCAGTCGCTATACACTAACAAGGAAAGAGCAGAAAGAGAAATTAAGAGTACAATCCCGTTTACAATCACAACAAAAAGAGTAAAATACTTAGGAGTAAATTTAACCGAAGAAGTGAAAAACCTGTACACCGAAAACTAGAAAACATTGTTGAAAGAAATCGAAGAAGACACAAAGAAATGGAAAGATACTTTGTGCTCATTGATTGGAATTCAGTGCAATCTGCATCAAAGTCCCAACGACATTTTTCATGGAAGTAGAACAAAGAATCCTAAAATTTATGTGGAACAACAAGGACTCCGAATAGCCAAAGCAATCCTGAGAAAAAAGAACAAAGCTGGAGTTATCACACTCCCTGATTTCAAAATATACTGCAAAGCTATAGTAATCAAAACGGCATGGTACTGGCACAAAAACAGACACACAGATCAATGAAACAGAATCGAGAGCCCAGAAGTAAACCCATACATCTATGGACAGCTAATTTTCAACATGGGAGCCAAGAACATACAACAGAGAAAAGAAAGTCTGTTCCGTAAATGGTGTTGGGAAA